TATATAAACTATTATTAAATTTTATAAATATTATAATATTAATTATTTTTATGATATTAAATTAGGGATGAATAAGTCGAGTCTATTTAGTTCTAAAAAGATCGGTCTAAATTAATAAATCTCAATCCTAATAATAATCCTTAAAACCTCTAAACATTTATTAGCTAGCAAAGAAAATCAATTATATGATGATAGCAGTTGAAAATAAAAGATTATATATCATATTTAATAATTCATTATTTTAATAATTTATAAAGACTGGTTTAGACTAGCCTTAAGACTGGTCAAAAAAATTCATAACAAAAATGATCATACCTCAATTGATGATCGTACCCTGAAACCAGACTGAATATATTTATGCAGCTTCACGACCAAACAAAATTGATGTCTAATTAGGAATAAATCAAAATGTACAACAATAAGGTTTCAGAGTATAAACAATCAGATATGAGAAATTAATAGGAAAATCTAATAAAAAGAGTGAAACTGTTAGTAAATATTAAAAATACGAATGTATAAAAAAGATACCAAAATATAATATTTTACTTATCTTTTATGATGCCAGAAAAGGCTAAAAATCCTAATAAAAAAACTAACACTAAATAAATAATATTATTTGTTTTTATTAGTGTTAGTTTAATATTAGTAATAAATAGTAATGTCTCAAGTAGCATGATTAACAGAATGCCTAGTAATCGATCAATATATAAACTTGCAATCGAACCAAAATCAGATAAACATGCATATATAATCATTTCAAACAATTTAGACAATCGAGTAACCAACATATGTGACCAAATTAAAAAGAATAATATTCACAACGCCAATGTTTCAAAATAGCAAGATTGAATTAATAAGTTGTAAGGTTTATGTTTAAGAAAAAAAGAAAAAAATATTGTTAGTAAGCGAAAACTTCTAAAATAGAAATAGAAAAGAAAAACTTATTTAATAAAAACCAGAAACAATTGATAGTAAGTAAAATAGTTGAAGTATAATTCTAAAAATATAATTATTAAAAAAGTAAAAAATGTATTAATAAAGAAATCATATCTTTCTTTGCTCTACAAATTAAAAAGAGTAAAAGCCTTTCTTTAAGTAAGCCAAGCATAAATAAAAAGTATATTTGTTGCAGAGTATACCTATATTTGCCACTTTACTACAAAGTTAAATTGCTTCCTACACTATTCTTGCTAATCATGCCTCGCAATAAAGATGTATATAATGATTCATTTGATATATTTAAAGATTCTAAAGAGAAAGAAAGATATAAATATCGTAAATGTGGAAAAAATTGGGCTAAAAATGAAACAAGACTACAAGAGCATTATAACTCTTGTATCTTGACAGATAATGAAGAAAATAGAATTTTTCCTGGATTTAAATGCCAATATCAAACCACGGTAGATAATTTTGTAAATAAATTATCTAAAGCTGATCAAAAAAATTTAGAAAGTCTATTTGCTCATGCTTTTTATTCATCGGGTACCTCTTTTAATATTTTAGAAAATGATATTTTTTTTAAAAGCTTGTCCATCATTTAAACTTCCTTCACAAAAATCACTTTCTAATATATTACTTAATCAAAAATATAGCGATATTAATATTGTAGTTCAATACTTATTTAACCAAACACAGTATTTTCACTTATTACTGATGGTTGGTCTAATATTAATAATGACTCTATTATTAATTATATGGTAACAACACTAAAACCTATTTTTTACAAATTAATTGCTACAAAAGAACAACAACACACGGCTAATAACATAACACTAAATATTGAAAAAATTATGTTAGAAGTAGGAATTGATAAATTCATCACCATAATTACTGATAATGCTCCTAATATGAAGGCAGTATGGAGAATTCTTAAGGATAAATATCTATTAAAAATCTTTTTAGAATGCTGGGCCCATGCAATTAATTTGTGGATTAAAGATATTTTAAAGATTAAATGGGCAAAAAGTATTTTAGAAAAATGTAAGGAAATCATATCATATTTTAGATCACATCAAACTATTTTAGCTGCTCTTCGACGTCTTCAAATAGAAAAATATGGACAACAAATTGCATTAGTTTCAATAATTGAAACACAATGGGGTTCTGCCTTTGAATGTATGGATCATCTTTTACGAACAAAACTGGCAATAAAATCTATTTTAGCTGAAGATAATCTAAGAATAGATAGTCAAATTCAAATTTTAATTATTAATGACAGCTTTTGGAAAGATCTTAAATATCTTTGTGACTTATTAAAGCCATTTTTAATGTTTATTCACCTTTTAGAACAAGATAATCCTCTACTTTTAGTAGCATATATATATATATTTTTTTTTTTTATTTTTTTTAATATATTGGCAGCCTCGCTGATATCTTTATTAGATCTAAGCATATATATATACATATATTTAAACTATCTAAGTTATAGATCCAACATCACTCAGCTTCCTCTATGGGCACCCAAGTGCGGTCTGCCTCACTGGTTAAGGCTATTGCCTATACCAGAGGGCTGCACCAAGCTAGCCAGTGCAACTATAGCAAGATGGTTTCAATTCAAAGAGATTTTTAACTAAACTAAATTGGCAATTTTTCCCTTCTAACCTATCC